GCTTCTGCGGGCGGGAGGCACCGGCCCCCACCGCGGGCAGCCCCGCAGGGCGTTTGTGTAGGTAGAGACGAGTCGTGTGATTCAGTCCTCGCTTCCCCACGTAAAATCCTGGGAACGAAAATATCAACTTTATTGTTCCCCATTTTAAAGTATAAATATTGTACCCGATTTCTTGTGTTTACTAATTTTCCAAGAAGACAATGTGTCAGCATGTTGTCCAGAAGGAGAGTACCCTGGAATTGTGGTTGGTTGGTTTTAATGCTTTCAATTTTTCCTTTGTGTGTTCTTCCCTCAGCCCATCAAGGCTCCTGAGTCTGTATCCACTATAATTACAGCAGAATCAATCTTCTATAAGGTACGGTTTATGCAAGTTTGTCCGCAGAAAGGATCTTTCTATTTCCAGTCTCAAAAATTACCACAGACAGTGAAAGCACTAAAGGATGTACTCACAGAAACTGTCTTTCCTTGCGTAGCAGTCATGTAGGGTTTTGCTCTGCCTTGTCATCACCATTGGGTCTTGCAAGGTAGTTTTTCACAGTAGTTTGTATAGTTGTCATTGTCCCTTTTTTTTTTTTTTTTTTTTTTCCTTCCAAATCATCTGGTTTCTGTGTTTACTTCTGGAAACCATCTGGTTTCCTTAGGAATTTTTACGACTGAATTTAAAAAACTTTTAACTCTGAGCATGCAGAGGTCAAGCAAAGGTGACTATAGCTGATTACTTAAATTTGTGTGATGTTTCTTACCTTAGGCCCAGAGAATACTGCCTGTAGAGGGGATGGGTTGCGCTGCCCTAACATCTACACTGACTCCCGTTTCAGAGCTGGGTGCAAGCAGTCTCACATATCCTGGGAACAAGCTCTGTTGATGACTGCAATGAAAGCAGAAGCTAACCTTACATTCATGCTTGAGAGCATTTTTATCGGCATGCCAAGGGGCTAGTGTGTGGAAGTTCTGAAATCTGGTTTTGTTTCCTGGCAGTGCAAACATACCATTTGAAATGTCTTTTCCCCCAAAGAAAAGGTCGGGACAGCCACTGGGAGACTGCAGGGAGACTGCATAGCCAGAGGAGAAGTGGTAGACTGAGCTTCTGTATGCTCTCCAGAGACCTGATGCTTCATGTCTTGCATCCCAGATGAATCTCTCTTTGCTTTTGCACAGGGTGGAAGAGAATTGATGTCTTTTCTTGCATGTTTTTGCCTTTTTTCAGAAAGTCTTAAGAATTATGTCAGAAGTTTTATTTAACATCTCTTTAGGCAAAATGTTTCTGTTTTGATACTTCACTGTGATGTTGAGAAAGGGGGTTGTTTGGGGTTTTTGAGGTCTTTTAAATTTGTTTTAAGAACAAGCCTCTCCTGGATGATGCTTGGCAAACTCTGATCGTGGCAGTGCATGTGCTGCATTCTGCCGTGTGGTGCTGTCACCACACGAAGCGAGTTGCCTTTGCTGTGCAGCCTCACACACATTCCAGAGCACCATGGAAAGCAGTGTGGCCTTGGCGGACCAGGGGATGGATCTGTGTTTTGGGCCTCCTTTGCATGCAGGTGGGTGAACTTCATCCACAGAAAGCTGCTTTCCCTGCACACACAGAGGAATACTAGAGTTACTTTTTCTAGAAGGTGGTGTCGCACTCTCCTACGTCTGACAGGATGAGACCGTCTCCATCCTGCAGAAAGGGGGCGTAGCAGTCCTGGGAGAGAGAGATGTAGAGCAGCGGAGAGAGCTGTGTCTTTGGAGGCAGATGAGGCCAGGTTGCTCCTGAGACATTTGACAGGCAGAGACCATGTTGAATGGCCAGTCTAGTCTCAAAAGCTGTGCTGATGACTGCTTAGGTGAGACAGTGCTCTATCTCATGCCACCTTTCTTTTGCACGTGGCTGAATTAAGGCTGTCTTTTGAGTCTGGGCAATTTGAGTTAATTTTAAGGTGCTGATACTTAGGATACTAATGAATCAGAATCACAGAATGAAGCTTCTAAAATCAGATTGTTTATTTGATTTAATTATCATTTCTATGTCTTCTAGGGTGTGTACTATCAAATTGGAGATGTTGTGTCAGTGGTTGATGAGCAGGATGGAAAAACATACTACGCTCAGATCCGTGGGTTTATTCAGGACCAGTACTGTGAAAAGAGTGCTGCGCTGACCTGGCTTATTCCTACACAAGCCAGCCCCAAAGATTGTTTTGACCCAGCATCCTATATCATAGGTAATCTCTAAGCCTTCATTTTATACAACTACATGTATGTGCTTAGAGTAATGCAGGGTTGTAATTTTTAAATTAATTTTTTTGGTGGTTGAGATCTTCAGTGCAATTCCCACATTTTAGATCCTAATCCTGTAAGCATTATCTCATTTACTGGAATAACCTTTTTTATTTATCTTACGTGTGTAATAAGAGTAGCACTGCTGCAGTGAGGGTGATTACGTGAGTATTTGTGCTCACAGGCACAATTAGAGTCTTTCAACGTGTAACGATCAAATTATTACTGCATAGATGGAAAAAGTTCAAGATCCTACAGTATGAACCTGATGTGCCAGTCCAAGCTTTTCCTTTTAAAGGGACCTGAATTATCTGATCTTCATCCTGGCTACTTAAAATACCTAGCGTGCAAGCAGTGGCATAGAGCGTGCTCTGCTACTGATGATGAAATTGTTAATTCAGAAAAGTCCTTTTGACAGGCAGGCCACAAGCAGTATCTATTTAAAATACTTAAATGAAGTACTCAAATAACTGAATGCTTCAAATGAGGGGGAAAAAAAAGGCGGATCAGCCCAGCAAAAATAAAGGTAGATGTTTCTTGCCTGGTATTTGAGGCCACTTTGCCAGGAAAGGCACTGATGGAAAAGGCACGTTCTCTAAGGGATGTTGGCCGTTGTTGAGTATTTTTAAGTTGTTGTGCCTTTAAATTTTGTCTTTGAAGATCCTTTCTTTTTTTCCTAGGACCAGAAGAAGATCTCCCAAGGAAAATGGAATATTTAGAATTCGTTTGTCATGCACCTTCGGAATATTTCAAATCTCGATCGTCTCCCTTCCCTACTGTTCCTACAAGACCAGAGAAGGGCTATATATGGACTCATGTGGGACCTACTCCTGCAATCTCCATTAAAGAAACTGTTACCAATAATTTATAATTTTTTAAAGGACTACTTTGGACGAGTTATTTTGAGTGTACTCTCAGGTCTGTGAACCCCATACAAGAAGTTTAAAAGAATTATAAAATGTTCATTTTGCTTTATGGATTATGGTATTTGTTTGTTTTAAATTATATCAGATCTTCAAAGTGGAAGTTTTCTTTCCATTTGATGTGTTACTTCTGTGCTCTGTTCTTCAGACAATATTGCTCATTTTGGGACAGAACCACAAGTTTCATGTCATCTGGTGAGGAAATAGCTGACTTCTGAAATGACTTCTGAAAGTTGCCTTTAGTGTTCTATTTTCTAACTTATTTTCTAGAAAAGGAATTAAAACACATAATCATCCAGCACTTTATATACTTGTTTAATTTAGTTAACTGTGACTGCAGTTTTTTTTTTTACTTAAATAATTTAAGACTAGCTTCAAATAAACACTAAACTTGGTCAGTGATGCAGGTAACAGTTTTCTGTTACACTGGAGAGGGGTCAGCTACTTTGATTTCTCCAGACTAGAACGTGTCACCCACAAGGCAGTACTCGATTTAACAGTCACCTTTTAAGGGAATTTTGTTCAGCTGAGTCTAAAACGTGGGCCTGTGTCTGTAGCTTCCTGCTAAACTTTACTTATATAAGGGGATAAATTTCTTGGGAAGCTGGATGCAGATTTAAGAATTAGTGTTATTTGGCTTTACCATCCTGGCATCCTCATGGTAGAAATGTAGCTTCATTTCCCAAGCAAGTGGACACCGACGGATGATTTGAGTTTCACATTGTTCCTATTTATGTGTGTGTTAGCTTGGTCTCTTCAGGTTGATTTTAAATTGTTTTTTCATTCTTTGCAATTAATGATGGTAGGAAAAAAATCCTCAAGCAATTCAAATGAAAAAACATTTGACAAGGGAAATAAAGTCTAGTTTTATATATTGACAGTCTCAATATACAAATGAAAATATTTAAATGGCAGAACAGGAAAAATGCCACATACTAAAATACCAACATTAAAGTTTTCTGCACTAAACCTTTTACAAGCCAGTCAGCTCCAAACACTGTGAGATATGCTTGTATGGCCTGAATTCCCTGGGGTTAGTGGTTCCTGCTGCCTAGGAAGGATCAGAGCTGTAAGTGGCCTTCAAGTTAGATTTACAGATCTTCTCAGCTGCTTTGTTTTGGGTTTTTTTGGACATATGTGACCATAGCACCCAGAAGTCCCAAATCAACTTCAGTATATTGTATGGAAGCCTATATAAGTTGCACTAGGCTTATGTTTTAACTTCATGAAAAGCTTTGTTTTAAGATTAAGTGTATTTTGAAAATCTCAGGTATTGACAACTTTTAATACAGTGGGACTTGTGACAGCAGGAACCAGGTACATTGATTTCAGTCTGCAGCCTCAGTTCTGCTCTCTTCAAATACAAGGAAGAACAGTCAGTCTTAAGGGAGCAGGCGCTAAATTTAAAGAGTGCTGTCAATAGTTCAAAATGCTCAGAAATTAGCAGTATACTGCTAATACAGGGTTCAGTCTTAAGAAACTTCAGTTGGTACATGCATGAGATGTGTGCGCATGTTCAGTGTGTTGCAGTAATTAATCCCAAGGTGACCCTGCTCCCCACCTCCCTCTCCTTTTACTTCCTCTAGATGTCTTTTTTGCTGATTTATCTTTATTAAATGAACAACCATAAGAAAGTAAAAATAACAACTCTTAAAAGATACTTACAGTAACCAGAGTGACTCCCTCCACTCAAATGTTTTTCCTCCTTTCTCTGCAGTCCACAAGGTTTTTGCTTGGGCTGACTGTAAATTGGCATAATCCATGGAGCTTTGCTCTTCTGTGGGCTGACTTTCCAGCTCAGCTGCTTTCCTTGTCAAATCCTTGTAGGAAGAGGGAAGAAAACAATGCTTACCTTCAGCTTTGCTTTTCTGAGTTTCTACAGTTTGCACCAAATGAAGAGTACTTGCTTGCCATTTGCCTTATTTGTCAATAAATTGTAATACAAAAGGGACAATTTAGAGAAATACCAATGTATGGTTTATGACTTGAAGTTTGCTTCACAGAATGACCTGCTGACATGCAGGTCTCTGCACCCTTCTGTTTCAAACAGCAGGTCACACTCAGACGGGACTGACTGCAGGCTTGTGTTAGATATGTAGTTTGAAAGCTTAAGCAAAAGAAAAGAGTTTGGAGCAAGATAATGTCTTACGCTTATGAAAAATAGTATAAATGTTCTACTTAGAGTAGCAAAGAGCAGAGCTCCAGGTAGAGGATGTGTAACCTGGAACTTCTGTAACAAAAAGAGAAGTACTGTGAGCATTGCCAGTGTGAAATGAAAGCCAGAATCAAATAAAAATGTCATCCTTCACTGCATTTGAATCACCAGCAGCACTAAGTTTAAGAAAGGTGTATTCTGATTAAAGAAAACAACTGCAAAAGCCTGCACAATAAAACCAAACCTATCAGATGTTGTAGTAGGTGATCTAAACCAGATGTGAATCTGCTTCAGTTCTGTTGCTTACCTACCTGTGACAGATAATTATTTGGTTTGGGAAGATGGCGAGACTCATCAGTTTTTCTTACGAGACAACCCACAGGAACTTTAAACACATTTTTAGCTGTCTTGTCTTGCCATCATTAGGGAATGAAATAGAAAAAAATCACAGAGAAAAAAAATATCTACTTGTCAGCTGATTAAACATAAAACTCGTCTTCTAAAAATTTTTGCCAGACTCTGTAACACAGAAAAGGAGCTCTGCGTTTAAACATTTTTATTTTGTTTGCTGTGGTGTGGTCTGAAGCTACTGATGCTACCTCTGACAGTGATTACAGGTACTGTACGGTACAGGCTAACTCATGTCAGCATATCTAATAAGTGCACATTAAGTAGAGACGTATGCATTTCTAAGGATATAGACAACTGCCCCCATAACTGGCAGACTGCTCGAGGTGTTCGTTATGGTCATGCTTGTGAGGGTTTCCTGAGGACCCCAGGCACAGTGCAGTCTTTAGCTGCAGTTGGCCAACACATGTTCAATCCCCAGAATTGTTAGGGATGGTGATTAATAAACTAACATCAGTGACATGCATGAAGATAAATCCTGAAATCACAGCAGCTGATTTAAGCTTTTGCTCCTTTTCCTGGTCTGTTAATAAACTGAATAATTCCTTAAAAATATTTAATTGATTTCTAATTCTGTTTTTGTTGACTTCTTAAACTGATTGCCACCTGCTGTTGCCTTTCTCTTGATTCTCACCAGTGTTTCCAAGAGAGGCTCTAAGAAAAGGAACAGATAAATGGTAACATGTTAATGAGAAGAACCCATCAACACTTTGTGATAAAAGTTACACCAAGGGGTCCTATGGCTAGAGGTTACATGGAAAACACAGATCAGCCATTAGTCTCACCCTGCAGTGAGCTGTCACAGACCCTTGCATATATTGTTTTATGAGAGTAACAGCATTCAAAGTGGAATTCCTAAACCAGTCTTCACTGAGGCCTTTTTAATTCAAATTCCTGAATGTCCCTTCCCCCTCAGAGGATCCTGTGCTTTGCCCTGCACGAAGACCCACGACCCAGAATAGGGATTTTTCTATGCTCCTGGGTCAAAGATAGACTTCTTTTTCCCCCTAGCTTGAGTGACTTCTACACTAGACTGAAAGGAAAGACAGCAGTAAGAGCAAAAATAACCTCCCCAAGCAGCAGGTTGCAGCACATCCTTCTGTGCACGCACCACAGCAAAACACAAGGGAATTAGTATGGTCCAACAAAAGGAGGGCAATGTGACACTAACACCCTCCAGCCTGCCAGCACAGCTCCACCAAGCCACAGGGACTCTCTGAGCTGATTACCCTCAGCTGTATGTCTGACAGCTTAGAGTTTAGCCCAGGGGATATATTTTACCCAGAGATGGGTGCAGCCTCAGCTTCTCTACCCTCTCCCAGACTCCCCATATTGACTCCAAACCCCCAGCCTCAAGCACCCCTTTTCCCTTAAGGCAAGCATGTACATATCTTTAATCAAAACCAGGGAAGAGCAATGCTGTGTGAGCAGAGCAAGCATTTCCATGAGAAAGAAGCACCCTGCTTCACCTAAATGTAAATACATCCCTCTGTCTGTAGCAGGATTCAGAGCACAAGGCACAGTGGAACAACCACATGGGAAGCTCACTTGCACCTTCTTGCCGCACTGTGAACCCAGCTTCACCCTGCCCCAGCTCCCCGAAAGAGCACCCACAACTACCCCCCCGCCCCCCCCTTCCCCCAGCCCTCTTGCACAGGGCTTACCCCTACGCCAGGCCTCCACTCTGCTATTTGTCTCCTGTGCCTCGTGACCTGCGCCTGCAGCCCTGTCCCCAGCCCTGTGCTCAAGTGGAGGAAAAACCTTGGGGTTAATTCGCACCAGGACTGGTTTTGGTTTTGCAAGGGCACCTGGAAACTGGTCTCCCAGCTGTACTGACCTACAGCTCTTCTGTGCAATTTGGCAGAGCCCGTGGCTCTCAGCTACTGGCTCTGCAGAGGTCTGTGCCTGCCCACATGAATACATAGTTGGGACTTTAAAAAGAAGTTGTTTGCCTGCAAGAAGTGATTTCAGTTTTGAGTTTGCAGACACCAGCTATAATTACCTCCTGCATCCAGACTGCAGACTGCACATAAGCCCGATTTCCATGAAAACAGGCTAAAGTAAGAAATTATCTAAACTTACATAGCTGGGGTTCTCTCACAGTAATTACTCCTGTCTTTCTTGTCCACTTTTTGTCCTTGATAAGACCTTCTGGCTGAGAGTTTCACATGTTTATTATTCCTGGTGTCAAAATATTTCTCTCTAGTGCATGGTTTCTCTCTTTAAATGGTTTTAACCATGTAGATGTCCCTTTCTTCTTCTGTATGAAAAGATAAACAATCAATATTGAATGCTTATTTTTAAGCTCCCTTCATCTATTTGCCCCATTCTTTTCAATCTTTCATCTCCAAGTCACTAAATGCTTTCATCACCTGGCTCAGTCTCCTGTGTTGGCTCTACCCATCTCTGAATCAAAATGATGAAAGCCGAATGTGGCATTTGGAGACCATCCTGCTGGTTTCTACAACAACATTATGGCATTTGGAGAATTAGTTTGTGTCTCATCCTTCATGCACTCTGATATTCTGCTTAATCCTTGGACCTGCAGCACCAATGATCAACTCTAGACAATAAGGAGATGTTAAGTCTCATTTCCTAAAGAAAATGGCATGTAGGAGACCTGAATGCCATGGAAGAGGAACGGAACAGAGACTTCTAAGTCACTGGCAAGAGGCTCAAGCCAGGACAGTCACATGGGCCAAATACTCAGGACCCAAATATCTTTAAAATCTGGCCATAAACTCAGGAACATTACCACAGGCCTTTTTCTTCCCCAAGTAGCTGTAGTTCATTTGGCCTTAGAAACA